AAATAGAAGCAGCAGAGAAGGAGGCGTTCTCACCGGATATAGAGAGGAGCGACTTTTCTGGAAGCAGCGACAGCGAAGAGCGTGATTTCACAAAAGGGATTGTGAGGTCGAGGAAGAACAGATTAGAGATCAAATTAGATTTAGGGTTCGGCGTATTGAGTTCTTTTTAAGCAGCGGCAACCCCTCGGGGTGGGGCCGCCGCCGGGGAAGCCATCCCCGCCCCGCCCCGATCCCCGAATTCAAGAAGATTCTTCGTTCAGACTTGAGAGAATGATTTTCCAGTGGGGGAATTTGAATTTCCCGCCTTTTCCAAAGGTAAATATAAATAGTATGTTAAATTCAAAATTCTAGGTAGGGTAAACATTGCAACGATGTAGAGTAGAAGGGAGGATGTCATATCTCATTCTCGTGTTCATGAAAATTTTTAGTTCCATTTTTCTACAAATTTTTCAGATTTGAAAATTAAGATCTGAATCCTTATTTGGGGAATGATGATATTTGTGGAGAAAAGTCAATGTTCTATAATTAATTTTAATTATTTCTATAATTTAAAAAATGTATATAATTTATATTTAGGATTATTATTTAAAAGTATAAATAACTAATTTTGAAAAATATTTAATATTTGATTCACAATTTAGTGAAAATGTTAATAAAATATATTAATTATTTTAAAAATGCAAAAGGGGACATGGTCGATCTGGACATCCATTTCCTATTCTTGGGTAGGGACATGACTCTACAGAAATTTTGTCATTTTTAATGTAGATACATGAAAATACAAGTTTTGAAATATGAAAATAAATTTTTTAAAGAGAACTTTTAGAGATAAAGAAAAAGACTTGAGGAAAAAAATTTAGTGAAAGAAATGTTAAAGAAAAAAGAGGGAGAGAGAGAAAATGATAAAGTTGAGAGTAAAAGATATGTTAAATAAAGAAAAAGAAAATTATAGTGAGAAAAAATTTAGAGATAAAAACAAAATTTGAAATATATATTTTTAGAAAAAATTTGAATATTATAATGAAAGAAAATTGAATGAGAAAATAACAGAAATAGATTAAGAAGAGAAAGAACACCTCTAAAAGACAAAATTTTAGAGAGAAAAAAGTTTGGAAAAATGTTAAAACTTTTAGAGATATAAATGAGAGTGATATATTAGAAGGAAAAAATACCTAAGGATGAAAAATTTAGAGATATAAAAATTTTAAGAAGAGAAATAAGTTGTTTAGAAAGATAAATTTAGGGAGTAAAATAATTCTAGAGTGGATAAATTTGTTAAAGAGAAATATGTTAAAAAAAAAGTATTAAAAAAGAGATTTTGAAAAATAAAAACCAGATTTTAAAAACTACTTTTTAATGAAAAAAATTACATGGAATTTCAATAATCACTTTTGAAAAACCAAAAAAAAAAAGGCAAATTTAATTGGTTATTATTTAATGGACCTTAAGCTTTTCCCAATTAACTTTAACTTAAAAAAAAAAAAACCAAAATTTATCTATTGCTTTTTGTCTGCACCTTATCAATTTTATGCCAAATATGTGCTTTATAATCATGTAAAAACCACGTTTCAGTATCTTTTTGAAAAGACACCTTTCATACCTACCAACAACAAAAGTTGGTCACAATTCAACTTTTCTTAAAAAAGAAAAGTTTTTTTTTTTTTTTTTTCCATCCATCAAGATTTAAATGGAGTCAACAAAAAATGAGTATTAATAGTTGAGCATGTAAATTATTTTCTTCAATTTGCGAATGTTATATGTAATGTAGAATTGGTCAACAATCTATCTCTGTGGTCAGTAACTTAGCATTAAAAATAAAAATTTTATTTATGTGTAGTAAGCAAATGTAGCAATGTCAATACTGACATCTATCTCTGATCAAAAGATCGTGAATTCAAATTCTCACTCAAAGATGATAATATCATGTGATAAAAATAAGAATATATATATATATATCTTATATATTTGTTTTACATTTTATTAATAAATTAGGTTTAAATGTTTGAATTTTTTGGTTGCCACAGTGTAGTAGTTCTTATGACATAATTGTTAACTTTTGTTGGTCTAAAACTTTCGTAAGTTAAAAGGAAAATTAAAGTTCTTTAAAATTTGGGTTAAATTGAGATATAATTTGTTGATATAATTGACGTATCAACATTCTCCTTTGTCTATTTGCAAAGATATTTTCGAAATATCTAAAGAAATATATATATATTTATCACATGTGAGGTGGGAGATTGAACTCAATCTCTTAATTTGAGATATATATAAAATTACTGAGCTATAATCGTTTTGGCATATATTTAATAATTCAATACATCATGTGTATTGATGAAATTTAATTGTATGCCAAATTTTATTTTTTTTTGTTTAAATTAGTAGAAATTAAATATATGGTGAATTTTTATGATTCTCCATTTTTATTATGCTTTTTTTTTTGTAGTAATTGCAAGGTAATTGACATTTTTTACTCCAAATGGTTTTGGTTTTGGACTTTTGACTCATTTTCAAAATAACGGTATATATGATCTCTTTAAAATCATCTCTTCATCTTCTTCAATAGAACATGACGAAATTATGCAATCCGGTTGAAATGATATGAAATTATGATCTCTCTTCAAACAAATAATAAACCAGACAAAATTATGCAATCCCGATATTGGGTTATGCTTTCACATGAAGAAAAATTATGCAATCCGAACTGCATGGGTCCCATTGTGACCCCTCCACATTTTGTAATATAGAATTTAAATTAGTAGAAATTAAATATATGGTAAATTTTGTAATAATTATCAAAGTTAAGGTCCAATAGGATGAAACTGAAAGTTTAAGGTGAAATTTTTTATTTTTTTGAGATAAAGCAAACTTTATTGAAACTTAAACAGTATCGTCTTGGCAAACATACAAATCCTGCAAGGTCACTTCACGAAGCCAATCAGGAAAATCAGGGTTCAGGAGCCTCTTTAACGGGAACTTCTACTTCTTCCCGTGGAGGCAGATCGAGGTCAATGTCCCACCGAGGGAAAGAGTTTGAGCTCGATGCGCCTGAACCCCGAACCATCTTGACCTCGACTAAGTTCGGGAAGCCGCTTACCGTCCTTCCACTCATCCCAAGAATCAAAATCAAGTCCTTTGAATTTAAAGAGAATGCGAAAAACTAAAATAAAAAAGAGATTTCTTTATCATAAAAATGAATAAGAGGTTGAGCAAACTTTTTTTTTTTTTATGTTGAGATAACCATAAAACATAACTCTCAGACAAGAACGAAAAAGAAGCCACTTTATGGGCAGCCATATTCGCAAGACGCCGCACATGCACAAGCTTGAAATCGGGGAAATTCTTCGCCAGATTTCGGATGTCCTTCACCCACAAAATGGAGTTGCTTTAGGGGTCAGGATCTCCGAGAATCAAATGGACCAATTTGAGGGAATTTGTTTCAAAGTGCATAGAATGGAGATCCAACCGAATCGCCATTTGAATATCTTCTAGCAGGACCAAAGCCTCGCGCGGTCAACGGATCGTGGTAAGCTTCTACCATTCGGAAAACAGTAGCAATAATTTGTCCTCTGTCATCTCTGCAAACCACACCAATTCCATTTCTAACAATGGCTTTCTTACATGCAACATTCACATTGATCTTCACCCAATCAGTCGGAGGAGGGGCCCAATGTGAATGAGACTCTCGATCAATACTGGTTTGAATCGAATGGATAGGGGAAGCTCCATAACTGATTTCGTTTCCTTCCTGAAAGTTTATGCTAAAAATTGATTCACACAATAAAATACCATCATTAAAATTCAAGGACCAAGTTAGTAATTCAAATTGCAAACACACCCATAAGTAAACTATAAAGACATTTACTTATTCATTCAAGTTATGTGGAGGATAGATATTTAAAATTTGAGTAAATTTTTTCTTATTATCTTTTTCTATTATGATAAAGTTTTTATGATTATCTTTTTTTTTGTTATGATTATTATGATTTTTTTTTTGTAGTAATTATGCGGTAATTGGCATTTTCACGTTCTAAAAAAAAATTGACATTTTCACCCTAGAAGTTTTTGGTTTTGGACTTTGGACTCATTTTCACAATAATTGCATTTATGATCTTCCCATGTATTTTTAACCCTTTTCGGAAATTGTGTAAAGACTAAAATACCCCAATGTAAAAGAAAAAAAAAATCTACATTCAACCTTTTCAATAGAAGACGACGAAATTATGCAATTAAGTTGAAATTGTATGAAATACATCTCCATTGTAAAGAAAGAAACCAGATATGCGAACTTGATTTTTGGGTTATGTTTTCAAACAAAGAAAAAGTATGCAATCCAAAGAAAACCACATGGGTTTCATTGTAATCCCTCCACATTTTTTTTTGAAAAATTTTATGCCATCCAAATTGAAATAGTGTAATCTTGCGCATAATCTCGACTTGAGATTATGCAATTCCAATTGAAATTGCATAGTCCTGAACATAATCTCGACTTAAGATTATGTAATCCCAGTTAAAATTGCATAATCTTGATTCGAGATTATACAATTTTGGGATGACATAAAATTTTCATGGGACAACATGAATCTCGTCACAAGCCAAACTAAATGCATTTTAACCAGGATTGTCAACCTTTATATTCAACGACGGCTTCCTTGAGGTATTCTAACCGAGATTCGAAAAGTTATAAAAAAATTTAAAAAATTTAAAATATAAAAATTAAATTAAAACTAACTTCAATCAAATTAATAATGTACACAAATTTTTCAGAAGTTAACTTTTAAAGTATAAGGGTATTTTCTAATCATTTTATAACCCACAAGTCAAGAAGGTCAAAAATACTTGAAATTTAAAAAGAAACCAAAACGATCTGAGAGTATTTGGGTAATTTCACGAAGGGCACAAATTTGAAAGGGGCCAAAATGAGGAGGGTCACGAATAAGAATATTTTGAGAATGGGTGAAAAAATAAAAATAAAAATTGAATTACAAAACGGCCACAAATGCCAATTTCCCCAATTCAATTTTGGGATTGAAGGTTTGTCTTTATGCCCATGCCCAAGCCACGGCCCAGGGCTTTCAAAATCTGGAGATTCAACGACGACGATTTCAGTCGAACCACGTAAAAGCTCCTTGTTTGTTGCATTCATGAAGCTTCTGTGCTCACTCATCCTGTTATCGCCTTTTGTCGTCGTCGTTCCCAGTCCATTCCTCCTGGATTTTCTGCAGAAGCAGCTCAAGGGAAGGGCAGAGCAGCTGTTTCAGCGATTTTAGGGTTTTAATCCCATACCTCCCATGCGTAATCGATTCCCTTCCTATTTCCGGATTCTGATTGATCCGGTGCTTCCCCAATGTCAACAGCAACAACCCCTTGTTGCCACTCTCTCTCCTTTCTCTCTGCCCCTCCCAATTCCAGGTCTTCGATTAGGGTTCATTTGAAGCCTCTGCTCCCTCGTTTTCCTCTCAATTCAAGCATCCCTTGCGTCAGCACTCTCTCCCGGCGCCGCAGAAATGTGAGCTCTCTCTCTCTCTCTCTCCACAAGAGAAAGTCTGAAAAGGGTTTTCGTTTTAAACTGGCTGCAGAGTTAGTTAGAAATGATGTTTTATTGTTGGGTGTCTTTCGTTTCTTCTTGATGTTGAAGCTTTTCTGAACTTGTGTCTGTTATATTACTTTAAGTGGCAGTTCTGTTTGAATCTGTTTCTTCTCCATTTCATAGTAACTGTAAAATGGACTTTTCTCATGAAATTGGTCTAGTAGGATTTTAACTGGAGGGTCATTCCTTTTTTCTCTGTTGAATTGTTTTGGTTTGGAGAAATGGGAGATTCTGTGCTTTCGGCGTGAAGAGTCCTCCCCCGAAAATTTCAAGTCCAGGTCTGTGGAAGACAAATTGGCGGAAGACCTGGTGCCGACCCCTGAAATCAATCAACCTAGTGACACAAGAAAAGATTGGGTGTCTAGTTTATATAAGGTAAATGTATATATTTGCTTGCATCATTCGAATGATTATATACCCTTCAATCTTAAAGTGAAGTTATTTCTCCATTCTCCTAAACTGTACTGTACCCGGTTAACTTAAATTCATGAGTGATATTTATGTAGATATAGATATAGAAATGAATGAAACGAAGAATTAAAAACTTGAAGAAAGGAAATTGGATGAGGTAAATGAGACTACCATGCTACTAAATAATAATAATAATGAAGAACCGAGACTCCGAGTGTACTTGTTCTCTGTAAGTTTGCAGATATATAATTAACTACTTTTGCTTTTCATATAATCAATACACCTTTGCAATAAGATGTTATAATTAGCATAATTAATTAAATAACATGGCTGAGAAAACAGGTTGATGTGGATGATGGATATGGATCTTTTGAGTTAATTTATTTTCTTTATTTTCGTTTGGTGACATTTTGTTCTTTCCAGATTTTCTTTAGCCAGCAGCTTGTCTATTTTATTCTCTACAGCATAGTATTCAAAGGTGGTCATGGTGTGGGAGTTGATTGTGACAACTTCAATTGATTGTGTATAGTATTTTGTAGATTTCTTTTAAGTTGCATTTTAATTTCTAAATTACCCTTGGTTGGGTGGGAGGATTCCCAGCTTTCCTTAATCTCGTAAATTGATTTATTGTAGCGGCTTTTTTTGTTGTCTGAAACATATAATTACTTTGGCTAGGCCCTCCTGTAGAGGAAAGTATTCCCTTTTAATTTCTTTTTATAGTTCTTAGGAGAGTTGCTAAACTGAACACTTAGTGATAGGCTATCACTAAGTGAACTGATAGGCGATAACCTATGGCAATGGCTGAGTTGTGGTATTTCCACCCTCCAAGCCATTGGCTATGGCAAATGCCTCTAGCGAAAGGCAGTTGCATTTTGTCATCGTGGAGATAATTCTATGGCGATGCAAATAAGTACTCATGTGGAGAAGCCCTCCTTTCCTATTCGTTCTTTACTTTGCACCTTACAAATTACCAACTAACATCGATATGTTACAACCTATCAGAATATTACAGACCGAAGGAGTAATATATCATTTGTCATTTATTCTGTTAATTTTAAGAAGAAGCATAGTTATAAAAAAACAGCTAAGGGTCGGGGGAAGAGATATCCCCCTCCCAGAAGCTAGTGAAGGATAGCTCTCCAATCTTGAAGTAACAAAGAGAGGCTATAATTACAAAAAAATTTTCTATGCCTATAGCACCACCAAGAAGAGTGTAATTGAATAGTATTACAAAAAGTTTCAAAAGTAGACGACTTATCCTCGAAGATTCTGTTGTTTCTTTCCATCCAAATATTCCATAGAAGAGCTCTAGCTGCACAATTCCACAAAATCTTTGCTTTCCTCTTAAGGTGCCACCCTCGCAGGACTTCATGAAGCCAACCATCAATATTCTTGAGCAAACAATAGGAGAGACCGAAGATTTGGAACAGAAAAGACCACCCGTTCTGCGCAGTTAGATGATATCTTACTACCTATCATTTGTTGGAATAATGTTACCACGGGCCCCCTTGATTAATTCCATATAGAAGTTCAACAGTCCAAAGAAGGTTAAAATTTTTCCTTTGGAGCCTTGCCCATATAAACCTTAATACTCAACAAAAGCTTCAAAGGAAATTAACCAACTAGTCTCTTTCTCCCACAGTGTGCAGTCTCTGCTTAGAAAGGAGGAAAGCCTTGACCACTTGTTTAGTCACTGCCCCTTTGCTTACAGTAGCTGGATGTTTTTATTCAATGATTTTGGCCTAGCTCTTTGTCTTCCTAATAGAATCGATGACTGGCTTATGGAAGTTCTTAAAGGGGGAGCTCCTAAAGAAGAAATCTAAAATTATGTGGGGTTGTGCAGTAAGAGCCCTTCTTTGGTACATTTGGAAGGAGAGAAATCAGAGAGCTCTTTGCAACAAACCAAACCGTTCTCTCATCAATTTTTTATTTTTATTTTTTTGTAATGTTGTACAGCTGAATGCCTCTTTATGGTGTATTAACCACATGAATTTTTGTTGTAACTACAGTTTAGCCATGATTCTTCAAGATTGGAAGGCTACTGATCACTAGTTCTTTAGAGAGGGGTTCTCTCTCCCCCTTGCCTGGCTGTTCTTTTTTCTCTTAATACACTTTTGTCTCTTCCATTTTTTTTTTTTGTGCTTAGCAGCTTAAGAAGTTCAATCTTACCAAACTATCATTGTTATGTTGCGACCTATCAGAAAAATAGGGACCAAAGATATTTGAACAAACTTATTTGCGTAGCACTTTTCTTGTGATTATCCCCTTTTGAGTGGCATCAGACGACAAAGGCAAAAATCATCTTTGATTCTTGTGGCTTGATTTCTTCTTCTACGTTTATAGATCCCTTCTTGTTTTTTACCTGAAGGCCTTGAACCAAGAAGACTTTCAGCCAAATTTGTTTTATCAGTCCTTTCTTTGTTTTTCATAGGAGTCACGATAGAGTACAATTTAATAATAGTGGCTGCCTGTTGGAACTGAGGTTGGAGGGTTTTACTGTTTTTTTATTTTTTGGTTGTGAAAGACCCATCCAGCTGTTTTTCTCCTCTAAAAGTTCTACGAGTGAAAAGCTCTGATCCAACATTACACCCATGGGTATCCTCGTCGGGTTTTATTCACTTTATGCTGTACTAAATCCTTGTGCCTTTCATTTAACATTTTCTTAAAACCTTTCTTTCCTTAGCGAATAATTCTAGTTTGTCATTTTTCTATCTATTTATTTTAGTGACTCTTTCCATGTGATCAAGAAACATATTGCCTTTAATAATTTATTTTTATTTCTTTTATCTCAGGCCATTGAATCAATATTTGTTACAAAGCCTTGGGTGGTTCCATGGACAGCAAAAACCATTGTTCAGGTGATGCCCTCGTTTGATATTTGTGATAAGAGGTCTTCTTTTGTAATGTTACGCTCCTCTCGTATAACCCATATGTGATGTACGTTTTTTTTTCTTTGAAGTTATTTCTTCTACATCTATTGCTTGATCGCATCTCAAACCCCCCATCCCACCCCACCCCCAGAGAAAATAAGTTAAATAAAGAGAGAGAAAAATGAGCAGCTGAAAATTTCACCAGTGATAAACTTTAATATGGCTGTTTCTGTTATGTCTTGATACATTATAAGGTATTATGATGATACAATACAACAAGTTTGATGCTCTTATAATAATTGTCAAGTGTACTTGTAGCCAAAGTGAACCCGGTAGGAAGTTAACATTTGGATTAGCAAGTCATGTGAAAGAAAGAAAACAAAATGAATTAAAGAAGTCGAATTTTCTGGTGCTGTAGGTTATGCTTCTCTGGGTTGCTTCATTCTGGGTAATAGGATCATGGATAATTCCAATAATAGCCCATACAGCAGGATACAGAAAGGAATTTATGACGTACAGAGGGCAAGCCTTGTACAGCCTCCTCACAGATGTGGTTGAAGGGCTTACCGGGATGGCGATTCTGCATCGCTGCCTCTCAAGATTCCATCCCCTTCCACCCGGCTGGTTCAAATTCAGCCTCGAAGGGAAGTGGCAATTGGATGTTGGTTTAGGCTGCCTTATGTTTCCACTCGTTAACCGTCTCTCACAGGTGAATCTAAACTTGTTGCCCATTCTTCCCTCAGCCCCAGTCACGGTCTCTAGCGTCGAGCAATCAATTGTCGCAAGGGACCCAGTGGCAATGGCACTCTATGCAGTGGTCGTTTCGATCTGTGCCCCCATTTGGGAGGAGATCGTGTTCCGAGGGTTCCTTCTACCATCGCTGACAAGATACATGCCGGTGTGGTGCTCGATTTTGGTGAGTTCAGTAGCCTTTGCCTTGGCACATTTCAATATGCGGAGGATGCTACCTCTGATACTGCTAGGGGTGGTGATGGGTACTGTGTTTGCAAGGACTAGGAACCTCCTACCATCAATGTTGTTGCATAGCCTTTGGAATGCCTTCGTATTCTTAGATCTCATGAAGTAAATGTTGTTGATTATACTGTAAATTTTGATTTCTATTGAAATTTATTTCATGGCCAAGTTGAAGTTATCATTCTCCTTTGGTTACTGTAAAACAAGGTTCCACCTGAATCTTTCTTGGATTCCCACTTAACAAATCGCCTTGAAGGGTTTTTGTTGGTATAGAATGTGTAAAATTTTGCACACAGTGGCCAAAATAGTCTTTTTTTGAAATGTACCGGCCACAGCACGAAAATTTTTAAAGTCTAGGGACTAAAATGGACAAACATCGAGGACCAAAATGAATTATTTTTAAACTTTAAAACTAATTTTACAACTTTTCAAAATGAAATGTAATGGATTTGTGTTATTGAATATTAAGACTGGTAATCTGAATGGGATTTTGTTTGAAACAAAGCAGATATAATCTCTTTCAGATATTTTTGGTAGGATGAGAAATTCTTCAACATTGGAATGGTTCTGATATTTCTTTTTCTACCTGTGTATTCTTCTCCTAAAAAAATCTGTTAAATAATCAGAAAATTCAAATATGCCTTTGATATTTTCTTCACCATTGTTTAGAACAATGTTCCAGTTCCAATGGTCGACTACACTCATCATGCTAGTCTAGTGGGTAGAGTGAGAGATCTCATTAAGGAGAAGGACAATTAAATTTACTTTTTATATAAAATATTGTTTAAGGCTTCAAATATTTCGGATTTAGTGTTAATTATTTTTTTTACTAAAGATTCTGGGGGAAATTTTTTTTTTTTATAAAAATTTGAAGGTAGCTATTTGGTTGTATCTAAATTACTCAAACAAGTGCCTTGGCCACAAGTTTAGGTAATATCACATCATTCTTTTTAGTTCAATAATTGGGCCGTAGGATCTAACATCGATTTTAAAGATGATAATAAGTATCTTATCTATTAAGTTATGTTTAGATTGACCATACAATTTATTTAGTGGTAAGGATTAAAATAAATATTTAAACAAAGCATTTACTAGTAAAAAATAAATATAAAAATTTAGGGATAAAAAGGAAAGTGGACCTAAAGTTTATTTCCTAGGATATAATAGTTCTATAGAATGCAAATAAATTTGGGGACATGCATATATGGTAAAACAACTGCTTAAAATTTAGCAAAAAAAAAAAAAAAGGTCTAGCCTAAACCCACTCATATGGAAAAGACTAAAATAGCCTTTAAATGGTTTATTAGTCTTTCACTGATAGCTAGACTATGTCATTGATAAACTGCCTCACTAATAGACTATATCATTGACAAACTATATTATTGAGAAATTAGTGATAAATGACTATAGTGATTTAGCTACTATTTACTAATATGATCCATCAATGATAGACATCTATCCGTATTATAGTTTATCATTGATATCATTTATCAATGATAGATGTTTTATAGATTATATAAGTAATATTCTTCATCAGTGGTAAACATATATCAGTGATATGTAATCTATCACTAATAAAATGATAGATGTAAATGACTAGAAAGAGAATAATGATGTAAAAATATCTAAATAGGCATGAGAAATTAAAAAAAAAATTATATTTCCAAAATAATAATTATATTGTTATATTTAAAAATATGACAATGTGAATCATCCTCTATTTTTTACTTTGGTGTTAGCTTTGATTTTGATTTTTTTTTCTGACTTGATGTCATGGTTAAACTCATGGTTCAAAATTTCGTTCAACACATCGACATGTCGATGGTCTCGACATCGACAAAGGAGAGAAAGTCACTTTTTCCTAATGTGTCGACATGTCGAGGAAATGTCGATTTTTTTTTAACATTGAATCCCTCAACAATTGAAAAAATCTGGATCAATGGTAGCCTTCTAGTTTGGAAAGTTTTGAATCCAAACCTTAAAAGAAGGATTTCTTTTCCATCTTTTCAAATTTTTATAAATTCAAAGCTTGTGGGAGCAACAAAAAAAGTCGAAAATAATGGTAAAAGATTATATGTCGGGCGTTTTCTATTTTTCTTTTAAAGAAATAGAGTTAAATTCTTATCTTTTTGGTTCAAAAAAGAAAAAAAACATTAAATTAAATTTAACTATAAAAATCTAAAAAAATCTTAAAGAAATAGTTACAATGGATTTATAGAAAACTTAATTTAAATTAAATTAAACTAAAAGATTCTAACAAAATCTTTAGTTCATTCAAAAGAAAAACAAATTTTAAATTAAATTTAACTAACAAAATCTTAAAACAAACAAATAAACGAAAATCAATTTAATTCATTATTTTTAAACATTTAAATTTTAGAAAAGTTAAATTATTATCTTTAGGTTAAAAAAGAAAAAGAAACAACCAAACGTAACATTAAATTTAACTAAAAAAAATCTAACAAAATCTTACAGAAACAGATAATAGATTTAAAAAAACAAATTTTAAATTAAATTTAACCAACCAAATCTTAGAACAAACCATATAAAAGATAATAATTTAACTAATTATGATTAAACATTTAAATTTTAAACTAAATCTAATTTTTTAAAAATTATTTCATACTTTATAAATCTATATTTTAGATATTTTGTTCAATTATGTAATTAGATTGGATTAGTCAATAAAAAAGATTAGTCAATAAAAAAGTAACATCAAACTTTAATTTCCTGACTCAAATAATTTTTATGTGTATACATGATTTTGTTTCAATATCATCGCGACAACATTCCCACAACTATATTACTTATATATGATGATTAAAAAGTGATTAGCATAGGTTAATTAAGCTGCAATTAAATTCTTATTTACTAATTTAAAAAATTTGCATCAATATCCACTATTTTCGTAATTTTTCAAGAAATATCCACCGACATGTCTGGGACCTTGACATTTCCGTCAACATCGACATTTCGAACCTTAGTTAAACTTGTGCTTTTTCATTTTCTCAAAAAAAAAAAGAAAAAAAAATAACTTGGGCCTTTTTTATTGCTTTGATTTACGAGGCGTTGTTGGTAAAATTTTTTTGTGATTTATTGGTTGAATTTTGTTCAAAATTGACTCAGTGGCCATCTAATCAAAAAGATTTTTTTCTTCAAAAATAACATATGAAATAAGCATTATTGGTAGAAGCAAGTTTCTCCAAAATGTTACTTTTCAGGTTAAATATTATTTTGTCCACATATCTTTTAACTTCGATCTTTTTTTGTCGCCATACTTTCAAAACGTTCATTTTGATTATTATACTTTTATCTTTTATTCATTTTAGTCATTACACTTTCAAAACGTCAATTTTGATCCCTATTTGTAAAATTTTAACACATATGCTATACACAATGGAAACCATTTTACAAATTTATAATTACGTTTTAAGAAATTTAGTTAATGATCTAGTGTCATGCTAAAATTATGATGGAAAGAAATGAAATAAAAGTTAAAATGAATTAACTAAAAGGGTCACTGTTGAAAAGTTACAGATACCACAGTGAATATTTTGAAAGTATAGAGACTAAAATGAATAAAATTTTAAAAGATATAAACTAAAATAGACGTTTTGAAATTACAAAAATCAAAACGAACTAAAGTGGAAAGTACAGGTAACAAAATAATCCGTAAATCTTATTTTTCAACCAAAAGGTGGAGAATCTTAAATGTGAGAATAAGACAAGCCAATAAAAAGAAAGAAGAAAAAAAGGTCTAAAATAAAAAACCAAAGAATGCTGAAAACCCAAGAGACCATAATGTCTGTTGTTGGACAGTACAAATGATTTATGCCTTGATTTTACTTTTCAAAAAACAACAATGTTTGGACTTTTAAAAATTGTTTCTCTTTTGGACAATTCTGTTCTTGATTCTCTCCAATAGTACTAATCTATTGTAAATATAAAGTGAACTGTCTTTTTCTAAGAAATATCTAAAGGAATATTTACTTTCCCCTAAATATATTAATACCGTCTCAGCTATGCACTATGTTCAATTTTGTTTATCACATCACTGCAATTTTGTTTCGGATGAATTAAAACTACAATATTTTTAAATTTTATTTTGAAATAATTAAAACTACAGTATCTCGGATATTGTCTTACTTTGGACATCCTTTAACTTTGCTTTTGATTTCACTAAAAAAATCCGCATATAAATCGAGATAATTGTCATTACTTATATACCATGAATCTCTCTCTTTCCTAATCAATGTCAGACATTAATTTAAAATAAAAGTTATGGAGTTGAGTCGAATAGAACTAGACTCAATCCACTGAATTTGTGGAATCCAATCGGATCTGATTGTAGTTTTGAGATTTTCCATAAGACACGAACCAAGATTCACTAATGTTCGTCAAGCACGCTACGTGGATTGGCCAAGGTCTTTGTCGACTTTTTGTGTACAACATGTGTGGTGAGAGATCGAACTCACAACTTCATAGTTGGAGGCATATGTCAATTACCGTTGAGCTATGATTGTTTTTTGGCTACAAATTTTTAATTTACCATGACTAAATCATTATAAACTAAATATAGTAAAACTAGTCCATTTCCTGCACCCTAGAATGAATTAGATACGTAGTTAGCAACTCCTACTAATTTACAAATATATACATATTACTAAACACACATATTAAACAATCTTTTAAAATTGAGATTCAATTTCTAAATCTTCTTCAAGAAAAACATACCATGAAAATACTACTAAATACAACCTTGTTTTTCACTTAATCCAGGTAATGTCATATTTCTTTCTCAAGACCATCGAATAAACGCACCCTAAAATTTCATATATTCTCCCACACTTCTCAAGTTGTACTATTCATTATTCTCTTGCCCAAAACTCATACCCTAAGAAAAACACAACCATTGTAGAAGGCTGGCTCACAGCCTTCTCCTTCATCTTGTTCTTGTTGTTGTTTTTGGTGTGAATATTTTACAGAAGATCCGCCATGGAAGCTTCTTCTTCTCAAGGTCTTTCCATAGAGAGCTTCTCCTACAGCTGGTTGGTGAACATCAAATCATCCTTCAGAAAAACCTCCCTCGATGAAGCTTCCTTCATCGAGATGGATCCCACAATGCCACCCTCCAAGAGATTCTTTACCTCGGACTTCAACTTTCCCGCCCTCGCCCCGTCCCCGTCCTCTCTCCCTCTCGTCCACGCCGACCACCTCATCTCCGACGGCTATATTGTCACTGTAAGTCGTCTGCTATTGACTTTTTAGAATTTAAAGATTTATATAAAAAGTTACGACGCCTTGTTATGTCAAGTTGCAGGCGTGTGAGGCCACGACGGCAGCCATTTCTAACTCTTTGCCTGTTGTTATACTCGCGGGGGACGCGCCGGGGACGCCCGAGTCGTCGTGCTCGGTGAGAAAGGCGTGGCGGAGATTGTCGAGGCAGATTTTTCAGAAGTATTTGAACTTTCTGAGGCCCCTTTGCAGAAAGATTCAAGGGGAGAAGTTGTTCAATGGAGGATCTCGCCACCCAATTACAAGAGAAGCTTCTTGGTCTAATCAGTGTTGTGATGAGTGGAGAAGATCTTGTGATTCTGAGAGCTCAATTTATGAGGCAGTTCTCCACTGCAAGAGATCCATAGGTGTGTGCCTCTCACTTTTCATTAATATGATTTGATTTGATTTTGAAGCGCTTCAACTTTTGAGTTCAACGTGGGTCAATTGTATTTAAAAAGATAATTAAACTTAATCTATTGTCCAAAATTTTGAATTAGTAATGATTTAAGCGTTGGCCGGTTCTGTGAATTAAGATTAATACTCGTACCTTTTAAGTAAAGAAAGTGTATTGTTAATGATGATAAGTAAAAATCAAATTCGCCTTAACCTAATAATTTAAGCTTCCATAAATTTACTAATTCATTAAAGATTAACTAATATATCTCCATAAATTTGATAATTCATTCAAGATTAACTCATATGTCTTGGGAAACAATAAAATGTTAAATAATGAAATAAAAGGTCCAATTTTGGTCTAATTATCTCAAGGGTAAGAGTGGTAATATAATATTTGAGTCCATTTGTAGTAAAGCTAAGAGTTTAAACAATGAACTAAAAAGCTAAATTAGTAGTAACTCTTATAGTTTAAGCGCTAGAGTCAATGTGATAAAGTCTAATAGTAATTCACAAGTTGATAACTCTTATAGTATCGATTTGAACTCACTCTCGTGAAGGCTAGAAGTGTTAAAAGCTAGTTTGGTTGTAACATACTCTGACCGGAGTTTAAACTTTTAGATGCAGTAGTAATTTTGTCGATATGAATTGATGTAATTTTTGTTCAATAGGAAAATGACGAAGAAGTGAGAGGGAGAAAAAGGAGGAAAAGAAGAGAAGACGATGACGATGGGGGAGAATAAAGGGGGCAGTACAGTTGTTGTTTGTCTGTTTTAATTTTTGTTTGTGTAATATTTTTATATTATGGAATGAAGAATGCAATAGTGAGTGTTTTGTCTTTGTGAGTAAAGAAGAATCTGTTTGGATTGTGAGAGTGGAAAATTGTGGCCTTTGATGGAGGGGGAAAAAGGCATCATATTAAATTTTTGTTGTCTTTATTCTCTTGTGGAACACAAACCACTAGTTGATAAAAGAGAGAAAAATCTCTCCCTTTCTCCTTCTCTCCTTTTGCCACACCTTCAAGTTTCTCTCATAAATATAATCAAACAAACTAGGCTCTATCTCTCACATGCACTACCTATTTTAGGGTTGTAGGTTGTTGTAAGTTCTGTTGCTCCTAGTTTGAGAATAGTTCAACTCGTTGAAGCAGTACCTAATCAAAAAGTGTGAGTTCGAATCCCACTCCCGTACATTTGTACGACATATAGTTCGTAGTTTGAATTCTCACTCTCACATGTTTGTACTAAAAAAAATTAAAGTTCTCTCTCATGCACTATTATTAGGTTTTGTGATATTATAAATTTAGGGTTCCTTTGGTAACATCATGTTTTTTGTTTCTGTTTTCTATTTTATTAAGAAATCTAAACATTTGACAACTATTTATGTTTTTTTGTTTCTCATTTCTTTTAGAAATATTCTCAAAATTGTATAGAAATTTTTGAAAGAAAAACATAAACATATTTCTTATTTCTTCTTCCCTTTTTTAATTTGTTCCAAAACACAAATTAAAAACATTACTTTATCATTCTTGAACCCATAGGTACTAGGACCATGCAATTCTATTTTTCTTTATTAGGAAATAGAAACAAGAAACGACAACCATCTGATTTGATTCGTTCTCAATAGCCATGTGATGATCATTGTTGTCACTAAACGAGCCTTAGTATCTTATGGATTTTAAATTTTCTTTTTTTAGTAATGTAGGTTGATATAACATGTCCACAAATCATTTCAGCAATATCTGCCTTAATACACTAATTCAATCAAAATTTATTTAGTTATTAAGCATGTCACATTAATATAAGAGCTAGGCATAATCGTCAAAAGTTCTATAGATAAATAGATATTAGATATGAGCATTACATCATTAATCAAAGAAACAGACTAATAAATTTGGGCTGGATGTGTTTTAATGTCTAATGTACGTAAAGAGTGTTTTTTCAATTTAATCTCTCTCATTGTTGACAAATATATTAAAAATAACTTACACGGTATGATATTTGGTGAATCGATGAAATTTAGAGAAAAGAAAAAGATTGAAAGAAAACATCTAATTCCTCTAAATTTCTAATAAATAGGTAGAAATTTCAAGTTTCGTTTCTTGATGACTTTTTTCCTCTAAATTTCTGCTAATTCACTAAATATTGTGTCAGTAAGTTTATTATCAGCCAATTTTAATATTCAACAACTATGAGGGACTAAATTGAAAAATTTTAAATAATAAATATTAAATTAAAAAACTCCTAAAAAATTATGGACTAAAGCATATATTTTCCATGAATTCCATGAATTTTTTGTTCTTTTTTTACTTTTTTGGCTTGCTTTTCTCTCTTTATTTTATTTCTTTTTGTTTTGGTCTCGTTCGTTTTAGTTCATTTTGGTATATGTGTTTTCAAAATGCCTATTTATCTCCTATACTTTCAACTTTTATTTATTTTAGTCCGTATAGTTTTGAAACATTCGTTTTGGTTCCTGTACTTAAAAAAAAGTGATCATTTGGTCTATTTATTTTCATTTTTATCTTATTTATTTCTATCATATTTTTAGCATGACACTCTCACTCACTAAATCTTTTGAAATGTAGTTATAAATTGGTATTAAAAGATTTCCATCATGGATAAAATTTATTTTATAATTTTGTAAATAGGAATTAAAATGGTGTAGAACTAAAATAGTGTTTATTTATTATATTATTATTATTTATTGCAAATGTAACACTCAAGCAAGTTCGATGTTGGGAAAAAAGCATTCATACTTTATTGGGTTGATATACGTGGAAAAGGACAATTCCTCTAATAACACATATCAAGGTTTAGACATTTTTGCTTGTCTTGTCATTTCACTTCATACAAACGTTATATCACTATTTCAATTACTTTATTTAAATAGATAATTCCCCCAACAAAAATTACACATAATTTATAAAGATTGTTGCAATCGTCCATCCTTCATTGGTGATTGAATTTTTACCGTTAAATTTTAACAATTTTATGTGTACACCCAATAGATTTGTACATCGAGATAGTGCTATGCTCAGCACACTTCGATGCTTAAATTAGTAAAGAATTCAATTGAGAGTAGCTAAAAATAAAGTTGTAGAAACGTATATCTTGTGCTATAGGTCTCTCCTCTTATTTAGAGAAAAAGCTTCCTCAAATTGATTCTGGTTCACCGCTTCAATTGGGTCTAGTCGGCTCGAATCTAGTCGAGTGCAAGTAGAGTGGTTTGACTTGAGGGCTTGACTCATATTACTTCCTTAGCTTCTCTAGATGTGAGTTTGGTAGAGTAATTTATAACCGCAACAATAATAACTGATATAGTCTTAGGATACATTCTTCTTAGTGGCAACTAATGAAAGTTATAATAAGAGAATTTAATTCTTTCATAAATTTGAATAGATAATTTTTCAAAATTTCAAAACTTGAGGGTGTGATTTCAACCATCGTCAACTTCTATGGTTGTAAAGTGATTTTCATAATTTTTCTCGATAGACATAGAATATAGTTTAAACCCTATCTCAAATTTCGAATTTTCATTTCGCCCTTTTGATGAGAGAAAGAGAAAGGAATGAATAGACATAAAGCACTAGGAAAAATGCATCCATCGTTACAAGTCTAATCCTTGTGGAAAATGACAATATATATCAAAGTTTAGACACTTTCTTTGTCTTGTCTCATGTCACTTTAGGGCTAATTACTAATTTAATTTCAATAATTTAAATATTTTAAAAAAATATTATCCACTCCTAATTTCTATAGTTTTAACCAACTCTGGATGAATGACTAGAAAAAAAGAACGTAAATAAAATAGTTATTACCTCCTCAAAATTAGTCGATGGTTCAATCTTCCATAGCTATACGTATGTTGAATTTTATGAATATTTTTCTTAGATATCTTAAATTTTTTTTTATAAGTACGGTATGTGTTTTCGTCATTGTAATAAATTTTCTTATCATATATTTAACCCAAAACTTAGAGCACTTATTTCAGAATTTGATACCATAAACTACACATATATCTAAAAACAAAAGTTCTCATGATGTCAAACAAAATTTCAGCAAAATGCCATATATAAAAACCTAATGGCAATGATAAAATTAGATTCTTATATGTAAGCTTAGGGGCAAAAAAGTAAAACATTTAAAAAAGGTACAAATATTAAGATGATATGTAGACATGGATAGGTTAATGGATGAAGATAAGATGCTATTAAATATTATTTAGTGTAGATTTAATATTTTTTGGAAATAAAAATTTGTATTTTTACTAACGATGTTATTTTATTGTGTTATTGTGTGTATATATATTTGATTAAAATTTTTGGTCTATGTAGTTTTAGCTTTGGTTTATTTTACTCTCCGTATTTTGAAAATGTTCATTTTGGTTCTTGTTCTTTAAACTTTGGTTCATTTTAGTCCATGTGCTTTGAACATTTTCATTTATGTCCCTTTATTTTTTAAAAGTGATCATTTTAGTCTGTCTTTGAAAAATTTTAATATAAATTTTATACGTAACATAAACTCTTTTAGTATAAACAATGTTTTCATTTTAAGAAGTATATTGATTTTAGTATAGTGTTTAAATTGTGATAGAAAAAAATGAGATTAAAAATAAAATTAAGTGACGAAAATTATCATTTTCTGAAAGTACAGGATCAAAAGGAACATTTTGAAAGTACTTGGACTAAAATGAACCAAAATTTAAAGTAGATAGACTAAAGCGAATATTTGAAAGTATAGGGACTAGAATGAACCAAAGTCGAAAGTACAGGACCAAATTAGTATTTTAACCTATATATTTTTGTGAGGATCCCTAATCTTTTTAAATTTCTAATTTTACCCTTAAATATCTTTAAAATTCTTACTTAAAGGCCTTACATCGAAAAGTATGTCAAAATTTGTTAATTATTATTTTATTAACATGTTTAGATGCATAAACATACCATTTGGAAGAAATAGATTTTTTTGATGAGTATATCAATTTTTTTTAAATAGGTAGATTAAGTTTCATGCGTTAAAAGTAACATCAAATTAGCAGTCCAAATATATTTATATAACAATAATTTAATGTTATATCAACTTTTTATAAATATAATTCTAACAGGTTTTTTATTGAATAATCTAATTGAGAATCTTTTATACAAATTTGAGAATTTTAAAATATTAAGAATCAAATTGAGAATTATATAAAAGTTTAGGCGCCATTTAGTAGAGTATAGTGTATATTTGACCATTTTTTTCTCTCTCATCCCCCCTCTCTACAGCCAAACAACAGTGGGATTTGTTTCTTGAAAAAGAATTGTTTTAATCTCTAAACTTTTTTGGAGTTTTTAGATCTTGGTTTCTAAATATTTCTATATCAACAAAGATTTTAGATCTTGGTTTCTAATTTTAAGTTTGTTATATTTTTGTTCATAAACATTAAAAATCCAAATTTTAAAAAGATGATTACTTTTGTATTTGCTGCTATTTTATGGTTAATTATTTAACAAATAGATTAGACGATTTCAAATATGTACATTAAAAATATGTACATTAATATATTCTATTAATTATGACCCTCTCAAAATATGACAAAATGAAATTACCATTGTACCTCTGTTTTAAAAAAATTCATCCCCTCCCTTCCCATCCTTCGTCTCGGACGTTTCGTGGCACTCCCATCCCAAGTAAAACCCTAAACCCCCATCTCGGAGAACCCATTCTTTCCGAAGAGCATTCTTTTGCACTCATCCATTTTTTCTGAAAATCATTCTTTCGCACTCATCTGTAAGCGTCAGATTCATCTCGGAGGCTACAAGGTTAGTTGCTATCTTTAACAATGTAACGAAAGTTGCTATTCTTTGTTGTATTAGCATGACCGGTGCTATCTGAAGCGGCCTTATAGATTTAGGTTTAGTTTGACGTTGTGATTGTAGCAGAAAAAAAATCCAGAGATTGCTTCAATCTCGGATTCTATCTCGTATTCAATCCCGGACCTCAGTGGTCCGAAATTGAATACTGA